GTACTCAGTAGTGGGTTTTGTAAATATCACTTACTAGATGATTCTCTGGGAGCCCTGGTGGCACAGTGGTTAAAAGCTCAGCCGCTAACCAAAAGACCAGCAGTTCAAATCCACCAGCCAATCCTTGGAAACTCTATGGGGCAGTTCTACTCTGTCCCATAGGGTTGCTATGAATTGGAATTGACTCAATGGCAACAGGTTTGGTTTGGGTAGATGATTTTCTCAGCCTTTCAGTGGCCCTCAGTTAACTCTTTCAATTCTTTCTCAGGGGTGTAGAAGAAGCCCTCACCATTCCTTCGCCTGGCCACTGCAACAAAGCTTTTTAATTTTTTTTTTTTTTTTGGTCAATGGTCAGGAAAGACCTAAAATCATTCAATCACCTTCATGGAGTAGCCAGCAAAAACTGGCTCTTTCTAGCTTAGTTGTATTCACATGCCCACAGTGAGAATCAATGTCATTGATTTAAATTACCTCCCTATCCCTTCACTTTCTCTCTCCATGCTTGTCTATCTATGGGTGTTGCTCTGTTTCTCTACTTTTCTCCCTGCCAGAGTCCCATGTAAAAGTCCCATGAGACCACTTTCAGTTCTATGAAAAATCTAATACTGCATTGAATTAGTAAGCAGCCTTTTACATATACCTCTATGACACTACACCTCTACACACACACACACACACACACACACACACACCCCAACTCACACCTGAAATAATTTTTGGTTTAAAACTTCACCACGAAAAGTAAGTATCTGTCTGTTTTTACCTATCACTAGACATGCCATGCTGATTTTCTTGGAGTCAGTTAGAGATCATAATGCCTCCCACTCATTCTAATTTCATGAACGTACATCCCACGTTTCTTTCACAAATATCCCAAATACAACTATTTCCCTCCGGTCGAAAAATGTTTAAATTTTCTTTTGGTCAGCTTTTCACCAAAAGTCTCCTGCATTTTGTTTCAAGCTCAATTGTAATGATTTGGAAGTAGAAAGCTGCCCTTGTGTACTAAATCTGGAGATGTGGCTATTTCATTAGTGCACAATAGAGTAGAGGGAGAAAAGAAAAACCTGTTTACTACAGGTCAGGAGGAGGAACCTTCTGCAGAGTTATTAAGGCTAAATAACCACACAATGTGACTCCACATGTGTGATTTTTGATCTCTAATGACTATATGAATAGACTTTGGGATACTGGTACTTTTTTTCAAAATACAGAAGCCTAACATAAAGATCAGAAGAAATTGGTTTGAATGCAGATTTTGTCTTTCCCAGAAGTTTCT